AGACAAAGAAATGAGGGCGTCTAAAATGAATGGTAGTCTGTTTGCCGTTTACACTGATATATCTTACCTCCAAGAGATGTGCCAGAAGTCTGGGATGAGTCAGTAAAGCGATACAAGTCTGGCATAGCACTCCAACACGAGCCTGAAGTAAACAGAGGTACAAACGAGTATTCAGATATCTAGATAAATAGATGAGTCTAACAACGGTCTAATTTCTAGGAGAAATGGCCTTAATTTCTAAAACGAAATACTTTATAAGGTTTAGTGTGCGAAAATATGCTGGATGGTAAGCCTTGAAGGGGGGTAGGGTCAACTGACCTGCTGTTGCAAAAGGCCTATTTGGTGACGCAAACGTAAATATACATGTGCACCGTTTATCTAATTGACGGTATTCTATTGCCCATTAACTTGTCATGAAAAAATATGTCGATCAGCGGGTAACAATGAAATCAGTTGTAACATCYCATTACCAGTAAAAGTTCTAGCACATCTAAAAGACCAAATCTCCATTCCTTGGCAAAATGACCCAGTTCAAACAGAAACACTGTCACGTCTTCGGCCTCCTGTAGCGCCTCGGTGGACTGGGACCCACGGATCATATCCATGGCTCGTGCCAGTCTCTCTCGATGAACCCCGGCAAAGTCTAAYGCTTCTTTTAGGAATCCATGTCGTAAGGTGCGTAACATGGATGCCATCACTGATAAACTGAGGTGCCAAACCTTATTCCAGTCATTACGAGATGAGATGGATACATTGGATTCACCGACCTGAATGGATGTTGTTAGCCGTTGATGGGAACCCTGTGTTAAAGAGGGAAAACATCAAGGTGGGATACGAGGGGGAGGGGAGGGTAGAGAGGTGCTTGTATTGTTGTATGACAGTGTGGTTCAATCCCAGCAGAATGGGATTTGATGGGAGTTCAATGTTGGTAAAAACCAAAGATGGAGTTGGAAAAAATAAGAAACTGTTTTTTCAAAGCAACACACAACACCCTCGTTTACAAATAAGTAACAAAGAATCATTGTTGTACATAGAATGACAATTGGCGACTCTTAGAACTCCAGTGTATGGGGGCTTTGCTTCACTTCTGAGGTCGGTACATATCAAGTTTTGCTCMATACATTAGTGTCAAAGTTGGAGTTAAGAAAGGTCACTCCATATATGGAATCATATAATTCCATATTTGGATTGCGGGTCTTTACCCATGAGGTCAAAGATGGTGGACAAGCGTGTTCGTCGGCTGGCGAAACGGCTGAGAGACATTTACGGGTTTGACGCAGACGAAAAACAAGAAAAAACTACAAAAAATACGAAAAAAAAAAAAAAAAATCAACTTCTCCCCAGTCCCTTTTTTWAAGACCGGGAAAGAGAGCATTGACACTCATTGTTTGATATGAACAAAAGTCAAAATTAGAATCACAAAACAAGCAACTCAAGGATTCGAAGCTAATCCTACATACACTGGAGTTTTAAGAGTCGTCAATAGGATTGAAGCACTATGAAAGAAAGGTTAAAACGTTGTGCACTTTCAACACACAAATCCCCGTGCGTTTTGTTCAATTGTTTCTCAGGATTACCATAGCAACATACCTCTGACTTGTTTTCAGCTTCCACGGTATTAAACAACGAAGCCACTCCTAAACACAGAGTCTGGGACAAGTTATTTAAGGCCAGGGCTTCTGCACTCTGTAGGAAATATCACAGAAAATACTTTAACTAAGGTAGCACTTAATAGCCAGTAGCTAACAAACCTGTTGCTCTTGTTCTACGATTACATTGAAATTTAGAAGTTGATTTTTGAGAATTTTTTCCTTTCGAATAAAAGGAAAGAAGCTGAAACTCTACTCACATGTGATGAGAAGTTCGGGAATCGAACTAATCTCGTGCCCAGAGCGTACGTTTCTTATGGCCTGCGGCGACGAACGAGGGCTCTGGCACAATCCATTTTTTGGCGCATGCGCAGTTTTCCGGAAGTGAAATACAATCAATGAAAATCATACTTTCAAACAAAGTTCTGTGTTAACTTCCCATCAGAATAAAAATTAGAAATGGGGAACATATTTTTTCAAATTTTTAGCAAGTCTTTAAACGCATGCGCTCTTATACCGGAAGTCCAAGAAATCCTGGTCTCGAAAAATGGATTATGCCAGAGCCCTCGTTCTTCGCCGCAGGCCAGAAGAAACGCAGGCTCTGGGTACGAGGTGGCGCATGAGCAGTGCGTATCATACTTTTGTTTATACGGTACTTACCACAGGAATCCTGGACAGCGATAGAAACAGATGCAAGACGGCCTCAGAAAATTCTAACTTTTCTCTGGTCTGAAACGAATGAATAAATACGACGATAAATGTGTTTGCAGTCTGTCTGTATGTCTGTCTGTCTGTCTTTCTGTCTGTGTGTCTGACTTTCTTTGAGAGTATATGCTCTGCAACTCTGCCTTTCTGGTTTTAATGTATGTATGTCTGCCCGAGTATTTCTCTGTCTGACTGTCTATTTCTCTGTTTGCTTTGCAAGTTGGTCTGTCTGTCTGTCTTGACTGTGTGACTGTATGTGTCTAACTGTCAGTGCGGCTGTCTGTGTGACTGTCTGTCTGATTGCCAACGAAGTTTTCTTAGAGTGCACTCCATATAAGGTAGAGTGCATTGTTTTGGTGCTGATTAAACCAGTTTTTGTGTAAATGTATCTTCAAACGAAGTTAGTCTCGTTTTGGAGGCCGGTGCTGTTTTTAAAGGTGGAAACATCTATCTAGTCTTATTGGTTAATAACTTGAACTACGCGATTTCTTCCAATGATGTGGCGCGACAAATTTGGCTGTTACGCATATTATACTTTTATAGAAAAATCTAGATGATCAATTAACTTTGAATGCATTTAATTTCCTCACTTTTAAAACACTTTCTTTCTCAACTTAATTACTTCCTTGGCACATTCAGGTTCCCTTTTAATAAGAACAAACATTAGGTCTCGATACTGTTACTGATAAGTATGACTAGTTTAATATCCTTACCTTGACACAGATATCGAGGGCTTGAACCAAAGATGCGAACAGCGCATGCTCTCTAAGGACAGGAAGCCACTGACCAGGATTAGATAGCAGGATGTTCAAGATTTCATCGATGATGAATACAGAGAGTTCCAGAACCTTGAAAACACAATCAGATGGCATGAAAGAAGACAATGATGACATGATGAGGGACATGTTGATGGTGATGTTGAAGGCGATTATGATGGTGGTAATGATGATGATGATGGTGATGATGAGAGATGATGATAATGAGAGATGATGATGATAAGAGATGATGATAATGAGAGATGATGATGACGTTGAAGAGGACGATGGTGGTGTTGATGGTATTAATGGGTGATGTTGATAATGTTGGTGGTGATGATGATGGCGGTGATGATGATAATAATAATGGTTGTGATGATGATGGTGGTGGTAATGATGGTAGAGGTGATGGTCGTGATGATGAAGGTGATGGTATAATAAATGCTGATGATGATGGCTGTTATGATGATGATGGTGGTGATTATGATGATGATGATGATGGTGATGATAGTAAGGGGCCTTATACCAACATTAGGTATCCTCTCACCTTGTCATGTTGCTTATCTTCCTTTCCAAGTCGTCCATTCAGGTATTCTAGTGGTTCACASGCTAAGGGTAGTAGAGCCATGGCATACCCACGATCAAGCGTACCTACACATCATATATATACATAGTTACATTTATAGAAGCAAAGGGCTATCATAGATTTGAGGGGATTATTCAGCTGTCATTCAATTGTTATTTATTTGTTAGTTTCCCACACATTAATCAAACCCACTCATCTATGCACCCCAGCCACCCAGGCAACCATCCATCCATTTATCTCTCCCCCACCCACCC